GGGGTACAGCATGTGGATTCCCTGTAAGTAGGGCACCCCATATTCCTCTCAAATTCTTCAAAAAGGCACAGGGGCATGAGGGAAAGAATGCCAACAAAGTGGAAAGCACAGCATTTGAAGTACATTGTATAACAAAGGAAAATTAACAGCTTGTGACTTTTAGAAGTGAGAAGCCGCAGAAGAAGCCTATTCCCTGGGGCAAACTGAGTAGTGACTATTAGAAAGTGCTCAGGCAGAGTGACTCAGTAGAATGACTTGTGACATAGCCAGAAGTAAGCTCAGTGCCTGTGAGAGCTGCATGAATTGGAGGCCTACCCCAGATGCTTGTGCATGGCTGGGAACTCTTACCCTGACTAAAGATGGCAACCAATAAAAGAGTAAAAAACACTGGGAAGCCCACAAAAATTATGGACACTAATGCACCATAGAAAAAGCTGGATGTTTGGCTGGGCAGGAAGTTCTGAGCTGAGGACATAAAATTGGGGCAGGCTGAAAAACATAAGGAAAGTCTGTCTGGAGGTCTGCCTATAGAAGATGATGGCAGAGCTGGTGAAGCTATAGGGGAACAGCCTGGCCAAGCACACAGACACACTGGTGAGCTGATGGCTAGAGTAAAGTCAGCTCCACAGAAGAGAAACTGACTCTGCAAGAAGGATTCAGGCTGGTGCACCCTGACTTGTGAGACATGTTTGGGGATGAACAGGGACTGGGAATACTGAGTTGCAGTCTTCTGTCCTTCTGAGAGACTATACTTCTGAGTGGCATATTCTGAAATTGGTCTGGCTTGGCAGAGGGAGGCAGGGATTTTCATTTTTGGGGTTTCAAAGGAAGTGGGACTTAGTGGCAGAAATCTTCCATTACTGTAAATCTATATAACCTTTAAGTAAACAACCTTTTTTATTAAACTCTTGCCTTGGCAGTCATGTTATTGGCAGTGAGCAGTTGAACCCTACAGCTATTCTAGAACACCATTGGCTGGTTCTGTAACACTTCCTTATCTCGGACAGCTATCAGTTTTTTCTGTGCATCCATGTCGCTGTTTCTTTCTTTCTTGGTCAGTTTATTTTTTTCATTAGATTCCATATATAAGTAAGATTATATGGCATTTATCTTTCTCCATCTTTCTCCGATTGGCTCATTTTGCTTGGCATAATAATCTCCAGGTTCATCATCCATACTGGTGCAAAAAGTAAGATTTCCTTCTTTTTTACAGCTGAGCAATATTTGATTGTGTAAATGTACCACAGCCTTTTTATCCACTCATTTACTGATGGCTGGTTGGGCTGTTTCCAGATCTTGGCACTGTAAATAATGCCTCCAGAGTATCTACCATCAATAAATCAACAAGTGTTGATGAGGATGTAGAAAAAAGGTAATACTCATGTGCTGTTGGGGAAAATGCAAACTGGCAGCAACTGTGAAAAACAATATGGAATTTCCTCAAAAAAATAAAAATGAAACTTCCTTTTAACCCAGCAGTTCTGCTGCTGAGATTATACCCTAAGAATTCTGAAACACCAATTCAAAATTACCTATGTACCCCAATGTTCATAGCAGAAAAATTTACTATAGCCAAGTGCTGGAAGCAAACTTAAGTGCCCATCACTAAATGAACAGATCAAAAAAAAAAAAAAAAAGAGGTACATTTACACAATGGAGTACTAGGCAGCAGACAAAAAGAAGGAGCTGCTACCCTTCATGACAGCATGGTTGGAACTGAAGAGCATTACGCTAAGTGGAATAAGCCAGGTGGTGAAAGACAAGTACCATATCTCACCTGTAAGAGGAACCTAATGAATGAAACAAACAAGCAACATAGAATCAGAAGCATGGAAACAAGGAACAGACTGACAGTTACCAGAGGGGAAGGGGGGGAAGCATAAGGGGAGAAAAAGGGGAAGGGTCTAATTAATGAACAGGTATAAATAACCCATGGACATGGACAATGGGTTGGGGACTGACTTTGGGAGTGGACCATGGGAGGGGCAAGGGAGAGCAAATTGGAAAAATTTGGATGACTGTAATAGAACAATAAAAAAGCAATGAAAAAGAATAACAAAAATTTAAAAAATTAAAATGCCTTTTGATCCAATGATCTCCCTTCTGGGAACATACCCTAAGAATCCTAAAGCACCAATTAGGAAGAATATATGTACCCCATGTTCTTAACTACTCTTTAATTTGAGAACTCTTCAAATGTATGAATTAGCACTATCCCCAGATATCTTCACTTCCAATTAAAAATTGATTGTTTATGACAGGATCTAGAGATACTTTCTTTGATGTATGATGTGTGAGAAATAGAAAATAATCAGCATCTCTAAAGTTTACTTTCATTATTGGATACCTTCATGGGCCTTCTGGTAAGCCTTTCAGAATGAAAACTTTCTTGCAATTAGAATTACTCTTTTTTTTTCTGCTTGACTACAAGTTTACCAGAATCTTTTTGTTAATCTATTTTTTTTCACTGAAACATTTATATATGATGAATGGGCTAGAAAGTTGTGATAAAGGAAGAGTAGGCATTACGTATGGAAAGGAAGTTTCTGCCAAGGGATAAAGGCAGAGGTTGAGAGGGAAGTTAAGGAAAGCTACATTTATAGAGAGGAAATAAAGGTCAGTTTTCAGAACTGTATGTCTTGATTTACCATCCAAAAAAAATGGTGGTAATAGTAGGTTATAGGGGGTGAGTTACCACCCCTCTGCTTCTTTATGGTCCAAACATGGCGTTCCAAAAATTTGAAAGTTTTTGAGTGTAGGAAAGGTAGAAGGAATTTGAAAATGGGAATTTATTAGTAATAGGATTTCCAGAGCAATTTGGTTAATTATAGGAAATGTTTTGCATGTTTAGTCAGAATACGTAAATTATAAGCCCATTCATTTATTAAAATGATACTGAGCTGTAATTTTTTAGCAAATTCTAGACTTTAAGCATTATTTCTTCCAATCTCTTCTGTTAGCAGTGTTTTTACCAAATAGTTTTGACTCTCCTACCACCAATGGTCATATGAACTTCTCTAACCCTTTTTCATTAGGCACTTGAAATATGTGTTGACCTTGAGCTATAGGAGGAGTTATGGGTATTGCTGTAGATGAGAGAATTTAAAATTCTATGTGGCCAGAGAAAGTTAAATACCATATGATCTCACTTATATGTGGAATCTAATAAGCAAAATAAAGAGATGAATGAAACAGTAACAGAGACATAGATGCATGTAATAGACTGACAACTGTCAGAGAGGTAAGGAGTTGGGAGGCTGGATGAAAGAAGGTGAAGAGATCAATCAAAAAAAGCATATATATCTATGCTTTTTGTATATATGTATATACATACATATATGTATATGCATATATACATATGTGCTTATATGTATATAACCACACAGAAAGCAGTGTGGTTATAGCCAGAGGGAAACAGTGTGTTATAGAACAGTGGAGGGGTAGGTAGAGGGGCCAAAGAGGAGATAATGGGGACAGAAAGAGACTTTTCTTTGGGCTATGGGTACACAATGCAATGTGAAGATGATGTTTTATTGAATTGTACACTTGAAACCCGTATTATTTTGTGAACAATGTCACCCCAATAAATTCAATTAAAAAACTGTACTATGTGGAGTGTAGGACTTCCAGTATGACAGAGTGGAATCTCTATATATCTGCTCCTTCCTAAAGCAGTAAAATTCTGGCCAAAATTGTCAAAATATTTTAAGAACTCTGAAAATTAATCAAATGCTTGTAACAGTATGAGAAACAGTATATTCAAGAAAAATGGTGAACTCTTGGGAAGAGGAGCAGGGTTTCTGGCTTTTTCCTGACCTACTTTAATCCTCCTCTCCCAGTTCTATGACAGTCTTAAAGCCAGTAACCTTGCATCCCTGGAGGGATCTACTGGTTACAGCTCCTCAGTATTGCCAATGAGACTTGTCTGCTAGCTCCCTGGAAGAGCCCCATTCATAGGACATTATTGATGTATCACCCTGGGTAGGAAGGGGAACCTTATATTCAGAGTTGCCACTTTATATTATCTAAAATGCACAGTTCTCAACAAAAATTATGAAACATATGGGAAAAAAGCAGTTAACAGCTAATGATGTCCTCAGGAATTCAATGTTGATTTTTAGTAGACAAAAATGTTAAAGTCAACTATTATGAGTAGATTCAAAGAAATAAAGGAAACCATGTCTGACAAATTAAAGAAAAGCATGATAACAGAGCCAGTCCATCAGCAAAAGCTGGGGGTATGTTGGTTCAGGCATTTAAGGAAATTTCTGACCAGTAATTAGATGGCCAAAGAGTGAAAGAATCAGAGGCAGGTAGTTGGACATGTGAAGTAATACAGATTATAAAGTTAAAGTATGATAATGTCTCACCACAAAAATAATGTCAATGTGATTAAAAACTGAAAAAGCCAAATACAGATTTTGGAGTTGAAAACTACAATGGCTGAATTAAAAAAAAAATCACCAGAGTGGATCCACAACAGATTTTAACTGGCAGAAGGAAGGCTCAGAAAACTTTCTGATAGATCAGTTAAGAATATTCACTCAAAGAGACAGAGAAAAATAACAATATAGAGACTCAGAGACATGTGGTGCCAACAAGTGTATCAGCAGAAACATGATGGGGATCCCAGAAGGAAAGAAGGGAGGAAAGGGGTAGAAAACATTTAAAAAAAGAACTGCCAACAATTTCTCAATTTGATGAAAAACATCATCTACTCATCCAATCTCAATGAACTCCAAGTAGGACAATAACAAAAGATACAACCTTATACTTTAAGTACTGAGTTTCTAAAAAAGGTACAGGTAATTTCCAGAAATTCATGGAGGTACACCTTATTGTTGAGAAAAAAAAATAAAACATCATCACAGGTATCCTTAAACAACCCTAAAATAAAAAGAAAATACACAATTGGGATCTCAAAAATCAAGAATTATTTGGTTTACTCCTTTGTGTTTGTGCTATGATCTCTCAATTTGCAATCTTTTTCTTTCTTAAAGGCCCATTCATAGGACGCAGCATGAACACAACACTGTGTGGAAGATGCTGAAAACAATTCCAGATTTAGCTTCTCAGCTAACAGATGACCATTTGAAAACATTTAGTAAAAATGTCATTTCTGAAACCTGGGTAAAAGGCAGCACAGGTAACAGACTCTATAGAGGAACATTGGACAAGATCAAATTAATGTCACTATTTTTAGTTCTCTATTAATTATAATACATATAATTTAACTTCACATGTTAAAATGTTCTATTTCGATATATTTCATTTGTAAGATTATGTCATGAGGCCCTGGCTGGCGTAGCTCAGTGGATTGAGCGCGGGCTGCGAACCAAAGTGTCACAGGTTCGATTCCCAGCCAGGGTACATGCTTGGGTTGCAGGCCGTAACCGCCAGCAACCTGCACATTGGCACATTGATGTTTCTCTCTCTCTCTCTCTCTCTCTCTCTCTCTCTCTCTCTCTCTCTCTCTCCCTCCCTCTCTAAAAGTGAATAAATAAAAAATCTTTAAAAAATGTTTTAAAAAAAAGATTATGTCATGAAATGAATTGCATTTCATGTACTAGCGCTTATATTTTAAAGATATACACTAGAGTTTCTCCACCTCAAGACACATCAGAATCATCCAGAAGACTCACTCAAACACACTTCTGTGTTCAACTCCTGAAGTTTCTTTTTCTGTTGGTTTGGGATGAGGATTAATTTGCATATCTAGTAATATTCTGGGTGATGCTGCTAGTATTGGGACCACACTTTGAAAACAAATCATTGATATGTACATTTAATGACAATCTAGGCTTGGTTTTCATAGTTAAGACAGGAAGTAGTCACAGCAATGATTTGACCAATCCATACACTAATTAGATATTGGATGAAAAGTTCCCTCCAGAAAGATTTTAGTTTCCAAATTTTAATTTCTAGTCTTTTTTTTCAAAAATACATTGGATACTTTAACAGAGGTATTTTATATTTTAATGTGAGGAAGCATACAAATCAACACACATAGAGTCATACACACCTAAACTGAGTGAAACATCATTTTCTTTGTGTGTTTATTAAGTACCTACTAGAAGGACAAACTAAATTTATGTAATACATTTTCATGTGTGTGTCAGGGGATCTTCCTTATTTAGCTATTGCAGTATCAAATAAAAGCAGATTATTCTCTACAGATGAGGACCTTAAAGTACAAAATATGCGCAGTATTCCTGCTAAGACTTAAATTTCAAACACGCTTTAGTCTTAAGGATGAACTCATTCTTGGCCCATCATGACACTGGTTTGATGAAGTGGTTCATCAGGGTCATGGCATTTAAAATCTAATTGGAAATTTGGAGAACATGTGTCTATTGAAAAGATGATATATTTTTAGAGTTTTGCCCCAACAGTTCTCTTTCATAATTAGTTTCATGTAAGCCAACATCAAACAGGGACAATTAAATTACATGAGTTTTTCAGAGGACAAATGTTAGTGAAAGGAAAGAACAAACATTCGACATTGCTTCGCTATTTGAGCATAGTAATTAAAATTTTATTTGTTTTATTATGAATTCCTGAAATTGTATTCATTATGGTGAAAAATATGGAAACAACTTGAATGCCCTTTAACAGAGGATGGACAGCACACATGGTGATGCAGGTACTCCATGAAATTTCAGGCCATGGCTGAAAACATGAAGTAAATCTGTGTATATTGATGTGGGAACTTATTAAAGACTGCAAAAAATTGAACTGTCAAGTTAATAAAATGATCACATGTATATCTTTATAAATACTTGAAAAATATATCTATATATTTATATTAAAATATATAAAGGTATATCCTGAAGGACAATCCAAAATACATATTTTTAAAGTTGTTAACTCTGTGGAGGAATTGAGGGTCAGTGAATGGGAACAATGAATTGTTTCTTCTACATATGCTCATATTTGTGTTGAATTTTCCATGGTGAATGTATATCCATGTGTCAGTGCTTGTAACTACACATTTATTTTTTTCACAAAAGTTTTAAAGTTACAATTAAATCAAATATTCTGATGGCATCTTCATAACTCAGATAATTGACTATTAAAATATGAACTTTCTTTTCTTGACAAATATCAACTTTAAATGATCAATTATATTACACAAGGCATTCTAACTCACATTTCATACTTTCAAACACTTAAGAAAATTAGAAGTCTCTGTGTTTACATCTGTCTATATCAAAATCCTTATCTTTTTAGTTTTTAAGACATCTAATTCCAACAGATCAAATCTGTTTCACTGTCAAAACTCATTAAATATCTGAACTTTGTAAATCTTTTAGTTTATCCAACTTAAAAAACATGCCTAACCAGCTATTGCTCCTTTTTCTCTTCTTTCTTTTTTAGGTTGGAACAAAATAAAAGTATTTATTTAATTTATTTATTGGGTGACATTGATTAATAAAATTATATAGATTTCAGGTGTACAGTTTTATCACACCCAATCTATAATCATTTGTATATTACATTGTATATTCACTACTCCAAGACAAGTGTCTGTCCATCACCCTTTATTTACTATTTTACCCTCTCCCTTCATTCCTCCCTGGTAATCTTCATGCTATTGTCTGTATCTATGAGGTTTTTTGTTTGTTTTTTGTTTTTCTGTTTTTGCTTAATCCCTTCACCCAGCCCTGCAACCAACCGGTTCTCTGACAACTGTCCATCGATGAGTCTGTTTCTATTTTGTTAGTTTATTTTGTTCATTACATTCCACATAGGAGTGAAATTATATGGTATTTGTCTTTCCCCCACCTGGTTTATTTCACTCAGCATAATGTTCTCCAGGTCCATACATGCTGTCACAAAGGGTAATATTTTCTTCTTTTTTACAGCCCAGTAGTATTCTGGTGTGTAAATGTACCACAGCTTTTCAGTTCATTCATCTACCGATGGACATTTGGGCTGCTTCCAAATCTTGGCTATTGTAAATAATACTTCTATGAATATAGGGGTACATATAGTCTTTCCAATTGGTGTTTTGGAATTCTTAGGATATATTCCCAGAAGTGGAATCTCAGGGTCAAAACACAGTTCCATTTTTAATGTTTGAGGAAACTCTACCAGTCTGTATTCCCACCAATGGTACATGAGGGTCCCCTTTTTTCCACATCCTTGCTAGCACTTCTTGTTGTTCACTTCTTGTTTGATGGTAGTCATTCTGGCAGGTGTGAGGTGATATTTTGTTGTGGGTTTAATTTGTATTTCCTTGATGATTAGTGATTTTGCACATTTTTCATGTCTTTTGGCCATGTGTATTCCCCTTTGGAAAAATGTCTGTCTATTCTGACCTTCTACCCATTTTTAAATTGGATTGTTTTGTTTTTGGTGTTACATTTATAAATTCTTTATAAATTTTGGATATTAACCCTTTATCAGATGTATCATTGGAAAATATGTCCTCCCATTCAGTGGGTTCCCTCTTCATTTTGTTGGTATTTTCTTGTGCTGTGCAAAACTTTTAAATTTGATGTAGTCCCATTTGTTTGTTTTCCTTTGTTTCATTTGCCTGAGAAGATATATCATAAAAACATTGATAAGAAATCAAAACATTGATTTCTCATTGCTAAGAGAAATGTCCAAGATTTTATTGCCCATGTTTTCTTCTGGGATTTTTATCGTTTTGAGTCTTACATTTAAGTCTTTTATTTATTTTGAGTTCATTCTTGTGTCTTTACTCATATATGTATTTCCTTCCTCTGCTGTTGTTGAAAGTATTCCTGCATAGTCCGGCTGCTGACTTACATACTGCTGCTGAGGTTTTGGTTTCTCACCTGAAATTTCAACAGCTGTTGACACCTTCTATCTCTTTTCTGGCCATAGGTTCTTTGGAATTTTATTATTTAAGGCAGCTTCTTGAACTTACCAGTACTTACTCAGCCTCTCATTCAGTTTTCTTAAACCAGAAAATATTAACGGGGATACAAATATTGTGATTTGAAGTACTGAATAACATACATATCTGTATTTTAAATGAAAGTGATACTAAAACATGATTACCATAATAAAAATAGTGTGTAGAATATATATGGCATATAGTAGTCTGTTTCTGTATACTCATAGGTATATAGTTTATACCTATATAAACTATATACCTATATAAACTATACCTATACCTATATAAACTATAAACTATATACCTATACCTTAGTTAAAGTGATCTCAAGAGTTTTATGTCCTGGGCAGGGGACATTTTTATGCTTGGCAACCTAAAGCTCATGAAAGCTAAAATAATAATCTTGCTTGAGAATACAGTTTAGTGGCTAACCTGGAATTAAAGTCTCCATCAAAATTTTATTAGTACTTCCTTTTATGTTAATGTTGAAATATTCACATGAAATAATTAATTTAAGGATTTTTTCCTTTTGATATCTATATCACCTTCACTGTTTTCTTTATTTGAAGTCCATTAAGTTTCACAGTGTTAATTCTCTTCTATTTGTTCATTTTATTTCATTTTATTCCCAGCTTTTGAGGTTATAGTTCCTCATTTTGATATGATTTTAAATTTATTTTTAATACTCAATTTTTTATACTACTAAGTTTTTAACATTTTAAAAACCTGCATAGACTTTATTTTCTGCTGTGGTGTAAATTTATTTTAGCATATTATAAAAACACAGTAGGTAAATATCATGAAAAATGTAGTGGACATCTCTTCCATATATGCTAACCATAATTCAAATAATATGCTTTTATAAGAGAAGTAATCAAATATTTAGTTTTACCATAAATAAAGATCCTGGCTCCCAGATTTCATTCTTTCCATCCTGTCATATAGAAATTATTTTTAAGTCCTTAGCTATGGTCTGTTATGCCCTGTATTTTAATAATGTGCTTTGTGAAAAGTTAATTGTGTTTACACTTCATTTTATTTTTTGAGAATGTCTGAGAGAAATATATTCAGGGTTTCTGGGACTTCTAGGCAAATCAGGTGTATGATAATATTTTGTATTACATATGAATTAGATTAGAACATTTTATAAGCTCTTAAAATTACTTGACTTAAAACATGTGTGGTATTATTTTGACAGAAATTTTAAGCATTAAAATTATTTAAAGCAGGGAAATTGGAACAAAAATTATCTGCTTACCCAGTACCATCTCCCAGCAAAAAAATAAGAATTCACATAATTTTTTCAAAAATTTATTCGTGCCTGCCCTGACTGATGTGGCTCAGTGAATTGATTTCCAGCCTGAGAACTAAAGGGTCGCTGGTTCAACTCCCAGGCAGGGCACATGCCTGGGTTGTGGGCCAGGTCCCCAGTAGGGAGCATTTGAGAGGCAACCACACATTGATGTTTCTCTTCTTCTCTTTCTCCCTCCCTTCCCCTGTCTTTAAAAACAAATAAATAAAATCTTTTAAAAATTATTCTTGCCTGTATCTTTTTTCTCACCCATTTTCTCTTCATTCTATTTCATCTCTAAAATTTAAAGCAACAATGCATGTATTTTTGTAAGCTTATTTATTATAACTCCTTTCAGATCATGAGAGTATCAATGAATGAATGATGTCTTCTACTGAAAAAGATCATAGGCCTTGACCTGAATATGCGTGGTATGAATATGAGTAAATGATTTTGAAATAAATTTTCTTAGTGATTTTTCTTAGTAAGAATGACTAAGTAAAAAGATTTTAAAGTAATAGGTTTTAAAGTTATTAAAAACAATCACCAACAATTTGTAAAATTATAACTTCTGCCTTTATGAAACCTCTAGAAATATTTGACAGAAAGTATCAATATTGAGAAGCTATTCTAATTGAAGGTCTGTCTGAGCCAAAAATAAGGTGAAATGAATTTCTTCTCATCCCTTCTGGTTAGCTCTGTGGTAATATTTATTTATTTGGTTTCTTAGAATCCTTAAAATAAATATGCAGTTTTACATGTCTTTGGTCTTCCACATGTTATAGAAATATTATAAGTAAGGTTATTAGGCTTGTGCCTTAAAATAACTATTCTTAGTAGCTCGACAGAGGAAAAATTGTCCTCAAGAACAAACCTCATCTCCAAAGATATCTTAAAATCACAAAAGCTATGAGAAGGCCACTCATTGCTTCTATCATGTTATCTCTGGGATCATTAAGATTTCACAGTGGGGTTTCCATGAATTAAATCATCTAGATCAAAATTCATATAACTTCCTTGTATTTTCATAAGCTTCCACTTGAGTAGAAAATAGGTCATCAGGAGTTTTTTGTCATTTCTCAGAGGACAGAATTCTGAGAGAAAAAACCTGTTTTTTCTCCAGATATTTTATCAGATTCTTTGGATAGAAATACAACAGAAGGTCATTAATTAAGCTTTCATTCATTCAACTATTTGCTAAATGCCTAAAACAGTTTAGGTAGCATGTGATGTGTTGGAGATAGGAGGACAAAATCAGAGGCCTTTAACCACAAAGCTATGGTTGCTGGGCAGAATGCAGACAGAGTGCAAGACAGATCCTGTAAGGACAGGGCCCTGAAGAGGACAGTAGTTAGGTTGCACAGGAGGAAGGCAAAAGTCAGAAGAGCAGGGGAATCCCCCTGGTAGGTAGAGCACATGAACACTCAATTTGTAGGCTAAGAACTAACAAGGTGACAATATGACCTTATTCACCCAATTATAACTCTTGGAAACATTTAAATAATTTAGAATGATTGATTTATGCTGAAGGTCCTGTGCCCATCCTTTTCAGGGAATTCACGAACATGTTTGGCCAGGTCCCCAACAGGAGGCGCATGGGAGACAACCACACATTGATGTTTCTCTCTCTCTCTTTCTCCCTTCTTCCCCCTTTCTCTAAAAATAAATGAATAAAATCTTTTAAAAAATCTTCTATGTGTATACATATATGTATACATTTTATTTTAGACATATACTATATATGCATACACACATATAGTATATAAATATACATATAATGTACTGCATGCACACTCCTATATGTATATGTGTGTTTGTATGTATGTGTATCTTTCCAATATTGGAATATACTTGAAAACCTGCATAAATTAATGTACTTTGTGACTTTTGATGTTACTTAATTATTTTGAGTCTTAATTTTTTATCTTAAAATTGGACTAATGATAAATGACATCCTGGATTATTAAAAGAATTAGACTTAGAGCACCTTGCACAGTGCACAGGCAATAATGGGTGCTCAGTGTGTAATGCTTGCTCTTTATAGAAAGTTTAGCATATTTGGATGCCAGGAACAGCTATGTTCCTATTTTTGGAAATCAATAGGAAGTTTGTTTCTTAATGAGCATTTTTTTTTAGAATAGCCTATCAACCCACATATTAAGATTGTAAGACCATTAACCTTATGGAGAAAATCTAGGAAGAGTTGTAGATGTAATTCTGTTTAAGAACTATTATTTTCTTCTGTAATTAACAGCATCCTTTTTGATGAACTGCATTTAAATTACACTCCATTTTTTTACAAATTATACTACCAAATCCCTTTCCAGACTTCTTTTTGTTAATGTTTATACCATAAACATGTATTCATAGGTACATGTATATTGACTTTTTTATTTGTTAACATTTTAAATGAACATATATTTCTTTGAAATATACTTTCTTTACACTTAAAATGAAACATGATCTCTGACTAGGTCACACATAGTGTCTCACTGTACACTAATTGAAACCACATTGCTGCCAAATATATATTGAGAGAAAGGAAAGGGAGGAGGAGGCAAAGGAAGGGAAGGGAGGTAAAGAAAGAGGAGGGGGGAGGGTAAGGAGAGGGAGGGAGGTAATAGATGCTAGGCTTACCCATAGGGTAGCATAGTTAGGAAGCTGTGGCTGGCTGTGTTTAAATACTGCTGCTGTCTTTGAGTCAGGGCAGGATGTTTACTTTCTCAGCACCTACAGTTTGCACAGTTGTGATATTGGAACAGTTATTGTACCTGCCATATAGGATTGCTAAGAGGATACAAAGGATTAATATATGTAATATGTTTGGAATAGTGTTTGGTTCAATACACAGAAAGAGGTAAAACAAGTTTATTATTGTCTTGTAGTGGCACATTTTCTTCCTACAATTTCCCCCACTATGTTTTTATAATGTTTCATTCTTTTTATATAACCATAGCATGAGAACGTGTTATCCTTAAACACTTCAATGCTCACATCCAGAATTTAATATTTGTTTCTGGTCCTTTATTTTTAAGGTCAAATTTACATATAGTAATGTGTATATTTGTATCTGAAATATATTGCTTGATGAGTTTTGACAAATACTGTAACCCAATCCTTATCAAGGTAGAGCTTCAGTGTCACCTCAGAGAGTCACCTCCATGCTTTTTCCTGGTCTACCTCTGACCATCTGCCAGAGGCAGTTGCTCTTCTGTTTTCCGTTTTGATTTTAAATCAGTATTTAGAACTTCAATCGGTTTAGAAAAAAGCAGAAAAGACAAGCAGTTGGCATTAAAAAAAACCAAGGGGGATGGTGGAAGCAAGGGAGGGAGGTGGGTTTGGCTGGGGTGGGGGGGATGGTGGGGGAAAATGCAGACAACTATAAATGAACAATAAAATAATTTAAAAAACACCATTGTTAAATAAATTATGTACAGTTTCTATTTACAGCATGTTAATAAGCAAAGTGTAAGAAAAGATCTCACAGCAATTGAATTACTTGCTCCAATCCTGTAATGTACACATGAACAATGGAGAGACAGCAACCCATTCCCATACCTTTCTCTCCCATAAGACAGGCTTCAGAAGGAATACAACTGATTTAAGCTGCATCTCAAGTGCTCACAAATGAACAAATCTGCCAGACCTCCAGACACATAGCTGAAATTCAGGAACTGGGATTTACATGACCGACTGTGGAGAGTTACAATGGAGGGTAGGAGAAATAATGGGAAAACAAACAAACAAACTCCTCTTCCTTGTAATGATCTCCCTTCCAAAGATAAAGGAAAATTAATAGTAGGTATACATTGTAACTAATATAAAATACACAAAATGGCTTTTTGAGGACAAGGTAAACATTTTTAAAAGTTCAGTTTTTATAATGTATTAATTCTATGTTGTGATTTGTTACCATGGTTCCTTCCCAGAATGTCTCAGTTCCATTAAAAGGGTTGATTATTATAATAACTGTCAGAAAAAAATTTCTCCAAATGTGTAGACAAGTGTTTGTGATTCTTGTTATTTGAGTAAATTATTTGTGAATGTCTAAGCATAGCATTAAAGTTATTGTCATTGTATAAAGGGATCTGCTGAAAGTGAAGCCAGTGTGAAATTCATGGTCATCATACCTATTTTTAAAAAGCCTGAAAAATAAAATCTACACAATATCTATCTCTTTCATTTTTTTTGTTTCAGTTGTTGGAAATGATGGATTTTATATAATACTAAAAGGCCTAGCTCGACCTCGAACACAGGTATATAAAAATTTGATTGAAGAAAATGTGTCGACAGCCTCCTTCATTCCTCAGAGATTTCACAGCCTCATTTCCAGTGATGACTTAGAAAACACTGTGCTTGCTGAGATGCACATGCCTGTATGTGACCTCATGGTAAGAAATGAATGTGTTTTTTTTTCCATAAGCAACACTATCACTATTGTAAAGTTTGATCTCTTCCAGATACATTTACATTTCTTCAGTAAGTCATGAAATTGTTAAGATAATACATATTTTATAAATTTTTCCTTTTTTGAAATCATTTTTTATTGTAATTCTGTTACAGTTGTCTCAAGTTTTCCCCCTTTGACTTCCTCTGTGCATCCCAACCACTGCTCCCAGAGTCAACTTCCATACTATTGTCCATATCCCTGGGGCATTAATACATGTTCTTTGTCCAGTACCTTCCCCTTCTTTCCATGATTGTCCACCTCCCACCTCCCCTCTGGTTACTTTCAGTCTGCACCCAAGGATATGATTACTGACTTTAGAGAGGGAGGGAGGGAGGGGCAGTGGGAGAGAGAGAAAGAGAAAGAGAGAGATCAGTTGCCTCCCATAAGTGCCCTGACCAGGGATCAAACCTGTAAGCCCTTGGTGTATGGGATGACATGCCAAACAAATGAGCCACCCAGCCTGGGATGACAATATATCTGTTAAAAATATAAAAAATTATGCTATTAATATTGAAATTTGTTAAGAATTTTTTTATTTTATTTATTTATTTTTAGAGAGGGAAGGGAGGGAGATAGAGAAAGAGAGAGAAACATCAATGTGCGGTTGCTGGGGGTCATGGCCTACAACCCAGGCATGTACCCTGACTGGGAATCGAACCTGCGACACTTTGGTTCACAGCCCGTGCTCAATCCACTGAGCTATGCTAGCCAGGGCTAAAATTTGTTAAGAATTTAATGACAGATGCCTGAAACAGCATACTTCCCACTGGAAGGGGTTTGTGAAATAATTGATAATGGGGATAAGACCAGTGTGGTTTAATCACTGAATGAGGAAGGAGAGAGATGAGGGAAAGGGAATAGGTGACTAAGGGGAGGGCAGGGGACAGATCATGAGAGGCCTTTTAAATAAAATTATGAATGTGTGCTGAGCCTGTTTATCTCAAGAGCAATGCCTAGGTCATTGAACTAAAAAGTTTTTGAAGAGCAAAGGAATTCATAAAAAAAAAGACAGCCAACATATTCAGGGATACATCTGATAAGGAGTTCATGTCAAAAATTTATAAAGAACTTACAAAAGTTAGCACCAAAAAAACAAATAACCCAATTTAAAAATGGGCAAAGGACCTGAATAGACACTTTGCCAATGGGAACATACAGATGGCCAATAGACATATGAAAAGATGCTCAATGTCACTAATCACCAGAGAAATGCAGATAAAAACCACAATGAGATATCATCTCACACCTGTCAGAATGGCTATCACCAATAAATCAACCAACAAAAAGTGCTGGTGAGGATGTGGAGAAAGGGGAACAATTTTGCACTCTTGATGACAATGCAGACTGGTGCAGCCACTGTGGAAAGCAGTATGGAGGTACCTCAAGAAATTAAAAATGTATCTGCCTTTTGACCCAATGATCCCACTTCTGGGAATATATCTGAAAGAACCCACTTCTGGGAATATATCTGAAAGAACCCAAAACACTAATTCAAAAGACATAAGCACTCCTGTGTTCATTGCATTATTATTTATAATCACCAAGATATGGAAGCAGCCCAAGTGTCCATCAATAGATGAGTGGATAAAACAACTATGGGACAGTTACACAATGGAATACTACTCCACAATAAAAAAGAAGAAAATTTACCCTTTGTGACAGTATGGTTGGACCTGAAGTACATTATGCTAAGTGAAATAAACCAGTCAGAGAAAGACAAAAACCATATTATTTCATTCATATGTGGAATCTAATGAACTAACCAAAATAAGAAAAATGGGGACAGACTCACAGGTGGAGAACAGGATGAGAGGTCATGGGAGGGGGTTAGGAGATGGAGGGATTGAGCAAAAAGGAAGAGGACTCATGTACATGGACAATAGTATAGTGATTGCTGTGATGAGGGAAGTATAACATGACTAAATGGTCATGGAAAATATACAATAAAGATTGCATTAAAATGAATTAATTCGTTGAACATGGTAAAAAAAAGAAGTTGATTCCATTACAATTAGAAAGTCTTGAAGAAAGTTTTGCCAATAGGTAATATTTCAAGACCACCAGATGGTCACAGAATAAAAGTTCATTATACTTCTGGATCTCTGGGGTCAGATCTGCTTTGCCTAGAATTGTGGCTAAAAATGTAGTTTTAGATTTTGGGTAGTCAAGATGTTGAAAGAGAGAGTCAAAGAAACCAATTAAAGCTAATTATTTAGCACTACGGAATCACAAAAGTCCCCGATAGCCAAAATAATACACCGTAGGTCTGTCATAGGCTGCACCATCTAATTCTGTGTAAGTGCCCTCCATGATATTCATACAATGACTAAGTCAGCTAACAATGCATTTCTCAGAACATACCCCTTTGTTTAGAACCCAAGATGATAGTTTGCAATCAAGAAGTGTGATACTTCCAGCTTTGTTCTTTTTCAAAATTGTTTTGGCTATTCAGAGTCTCTTCTGTGGTTTCATAATGTTTTAGAATTGTTTTTGCTTTAAAAAAAAGATTGTATTTATTTCTTAAAGAGAGAGGAAGGGACAGCAAGGAAAGCAACAGAGACATCAATGTGTGACAGAAACATCATTGGTTGCAGGACCTGGCCCACAACCCAGACATGTGCCCTGAATGGGAATTGAACTGGTGGCCTTTAGGTTTGCAAGCCAGCACTCAACCCATTGAACCACACCAGTCAGGGAAGAATTATTTATTTCTATTATTGTAAATTATGCCATTGAAATTTTGATAGGGTTTGCATTGAATCTGTATATCACTTTTGATAGGATTAATATTTTTTATTTATTGATTTTTATTGTTTTAAATTTTATTGCATATCAGTAAAATTTTATTATTTTCATTACTTGAGTACTTTTAAAATTTACTTTTTATTGTTATTCTATTACTGTTTTCCCAATTTTTCCCCATTTTCCCTCCTCCACCCAGTGCAATTTTCTTCGTTCTACTCACTTTAGGCTTTGTTTGTTGCTCTTTTTCAAGTTTGCTTATTTGTTTAAAGTTAGATTGTTTATTTAAGCTTTTTCTTGTTCTTGAGATAGGCCTGTAATGCTATGAATTTTCATTTTAGGATTGCTTTCCCAGTGTCCCACAGATTTTCAATGGTTGTTTATTCATTTTTGTTTGTGTCAAGGAATCTTTGTTTTTTTTTCTTTGATTTTGTTGTTGACCCATTTATTGTTTAGTAACATGTTATTTAGCTTCCATGTCTTTACATGTTTTTCAGTGTTCTTTTTCTGATTGATTTATAGTTTCATAGCCTTGTGGTCAGAGAAGAGGCTTGGTATGTATTTACTCTTCTTAAATTTATTGAGACTTGTTTTGTGCCCTAAAATCTAGTCTATCCTTGAAAACGTTCCCTGTGTACTTTTAAAAGTATGTATATTCTGATGCTTTGGTGTGAAATGCTCTGAGCATATCAATTAAATCTATTTGATCAAGTATGTTGTTTAAGGCCACTGTCTCTTTCTTGATATTCTGCCTGGAAGATCTATGCATTGAAGTCAATGGTGTGTTAAAATCCCCTGACTGTGACTGTATTCTGTCAGTCTGCCCCTTTCTGTCCACCAAGGTTTGCTTTACATAACTAGGTGCTCCTATGTTGGGTGCATAGATGTTCAACTAGGGTTATATCCTCTTGTTGAATTGTTGCCTTTATCATTATGTAGTTTATTTCTTTGTCTCTTACTATAGCCTATGTTTCAAAGTGTATTTTGTCATATATAAGTATTGCTATACCAACTTTTTTTCCCTTTCCATTTGTAGGAAATATCTTTTCTCATCCCTTTACTTTGTGTATATAGTTTGATCTGAGGTAGGTTTCTAGGAGGCAGCATATATGTGAGTCGTGTTTTCTTATCCATTCAGCTATCCTTGTCTTTTGGTTGGGAAATTTCAGCCTTTTGTATTTCAGATGATTATTGATAGGTATGTATTTAGTGTCCTTTTATTGTTAGACTATTTTCCTTCTTTTTTTTCTCTTTTTCTTCTTGTTCTTAAAGCAAGACCTTTAACATTTTTTGCTGTACTGATTTGGTGTTATGGTGTTAACAAATTCCTTCAGCTTTTTTTTTTTAATCTAGGAAGTTTCTTAATTCTCCTTGGTTTTAGGTCTTTGCTTTTCATTACCTTGAATGTTTTACACAACTCCCTTCTGTCCTGAAATGTTTCTGCTGATGAAACAGAAGTGTTTATTTCCTTCTCTGTGCTTGGGAAGTTTGGTGGCATTATTTCCTTAAGTACACATTTTGTTCCTTTCTCTGTTCCTGCTCTAGGTAGTGTGCATGTGTGGTAATGGTTCTGGGTCTGGGATGAGCATGCACCAGGGCTCAGGGACCTTGGTGGTGCCATCTCTGGGGTCCACATGATCCATTCCAGGGAAGCACATTAGTATGGACTCTGCTTTCTCTGTCAGCTGGAGTCCATATTAGCCATGACGGTGGTAGTCCTCAGTGAAGAGAGTCGTGGTGAAGCGCTGGGGTCCTCAGTGGTGAAGGCTGCCAGGGTCATTTCTGTTCTTTATACCCACTGTAAAACTCACAAGAAAGAGGATTTTTCTTCTCACTTAACTGTGCTGGCCTGGGGAATGGGATGACATAGGTAAAATTCTCTCTTTATTTTTCTGTGGCCATTCTCATTTTTTACGCTTCATTGGGATATTGAAGCTTCTTAATTGAATTCCAATATTCTCCCACATCTATTTTAGTTTATGGATTATTGATAAATTGCTGTTTTGTGGGGGCAAGGCTGAGTGGGATCTCTTGGTTTGTCATCTTGCCGATGTCTGTCATACTGTTTTGATTTCCTGTCTTGGCTGAGGTGCAGGAGGGTAGGGGGAAAATTTTTCAGAGGTTTATGCCTCATATCCTTTACTGATTTGATACTCTTACCGCAATGATGAAGAGACCATGTGAGGGCTCTGCCATCTA